TGCTGATGAGGGTGTCAGATTGCTGTAAATGTTGCTGATTTTGGTTTGGAAAAACGAAAGGAAGGAGTTGCACTGTTCGGTGGTGAAGGACGAGGTGGCGTTGTGACAGGGTTTGAGAAGTTTGCTGATGGTGGAGAACAGACGCTTGACATGACCCCATAACTGATAATGAATAATCTTGAAAAGCAGTGTGGCCTGCAACTTCATGTGAATGTTTAATGAATGTGACCTTTACATTTTGTAGCAGAGAAACATCCCATTTGCATACAAATAATTCCTCTTACTGGAGCAGAAATTATGTGCCTGGTTCTGTGATGACGAATGATTAAAAACAGTCAAAGAAAAAGTGTGGTGGACTGTAAGGTTTCCAACAAACTACACCCTCTAGTGGTAATAAGCGTGGCTGATTTGTTCTCCTTCTCTCAGAATTCTAGCGGTACTGAAATGATGTACTGTGGCTACACTGTGTATTATGTATCTGGTGTGGTTACAGTATACACTGACTTGATGAAACCCAGCCTTAATTCTTATAAATAATACAGAAAAAAATATGTATAGAATCATGATTGAACAACTCAAACAGCACAACCCCAGAAACCAATAGTTTATAAATCCAATGTTCTATACAAATCTCCAGGTAGTTGTATAAATTATATTTCTTGAAGTTTTCTTGGGTTCCAAATAATATTAACACTGGACAGTTTCCAGTAAAGTGTGAGTAGTTTTCAGTAAAAATGCTCTCCAAAAACCATCATGTGCCACAAAGGTCTGCATCCTGAACATTGTTCCTGCAGTAAACTGTGCTGTTGTTCTCCAGGGGGGAGTCTTTGAAGCCGAGGCCCCCATTAGGGGTGTAAATAGGCTGAATGCAGAAGTCTCCCTTGAGGAGCTGTTCATTGTTAAGTGAGACTATCTGAAAGCTGGCCTCAGTCATTTCCAGGATGGAGTTGTCTTTCTTGGTGCTTTCCTCGCAGTAGTCGTCTTTTCTGCGACCCTTGTTGTATTTCCAGTTGGTGGAGGACTTGGAGCGGCTCTTCTTGTGCATTTGCCAGCAGAAGATGCTGAGCAGCGCCACCAGCACCACGATCACAGCCCCGCCAATCAGCCCAGCCAGCAGGAAAGGTGAGCGTGGTTCCTGCTGCGTGGTCTGCTCGGGCCCAGACGCTCTTTTGTTGTTGTCGGGGCTGAAAGAGGCCGCCGTGGTCATGGCCTCTGTGCACATTGTGTCATCCTTGGGCCGGTAATTATTGAATCCATCCAGGGGAATGACACATATCCGATAGGTGGACTTTGCCTTGAGATTTGATAGTCTGATCCCTCGGTGATCCCGACCAACTATCCGCTCCCTGACGGTGTCCCCTGTCAGACTGGGGCCCATCCTGGCCCAGGTCACCTTGTAGGCAGTGACTGGAAAAGCAGCCACCCAGCTGACATGGAGAGCCGAACCATTCAGTATGGCAAAAGTGTCCTGCAAAGTCTCTCTCCTGGAGTCCAGAGGTTGCTTAGTCCTCAACCCCCTAGCTCTGGTTGAGTAGACAGGGAAGAGCGTGGGGAATGTGGGCAAGGAAGAGGAAACAAACCGGGTGACCAGTGGGGAGGAAGAGGCCAGGGATGGGATCAGAGCAGCAGGGGAAGTGGACAGAGGTACTTTCACCGTGCTCTGTGGGAAATGGACCAACTCGGCACTCAGCTCTCTGATCACCATGCCCCGGAACTTTTCAGGTTTATGGCACATGAAGCCGCGCACATTGAGTGAAGCCGGAAGAGATTTCAGCCATGACACCACCCATTTCATGTAGCAGTCGCACAGCCAAAGGTTGTTCCGAACAGTGAGCTGCCTGAGACTGACAAGGTCATCAAACACCCCCTCTGTCAGGGACTGCAGCTGGTTGTTAGAGATATCCAGCCTCTCCAGCTTGTGCAACCCTGCGAACGCCCTCACAGGGATCCTGTTTATCTGGTTCTCCTGAAAGTTTAATTTGACAAGCACCTCCCCTGGGAGGAACGGGGGAGGGTATGTGAGTGAGTTCCGGGCCAGGGACAGCTCCCTGAGGGTCACCAGGTTCTGAAAGGTCCCCGGTGCTATCCCTTCATCTGTCAGAAGATTCCCCTCCAACAGGAGGCGCTTTAGGCGGGTGACATTCCTAAATGCTTCCTCTGCGATAATCGCGATCCGGTTTTCGTCCAGACGCAACTCTTTCAGGTCATCTGGAAGACCAAAAGGAACACTGCTCAGGTGGTTTTTGGTGAGGAAGAGCATCTTCAGACTTATGGCCTCACTGAAGGCCCCTGCCTCCACCCCTACAGTAGAAATTGAGTTATCATCCAAATGCAACTCCTCCAGCCAAAGCAGCTGAGCCAGAGCCGCTCTGGAGATGGTCTGAATATTGTTCTCCTGCAGATGGATAACCCTAACGTTTTTGGGCAGGTTGATGGGGAACTCATCCAGCTGGTTTCCATAGAGATACACAGTTTCCACAGAAGCCACGTGATGGAGCTCCAAGGGAAAACCAGCGTTATTGATTTGGTTGTTGTGAAGGTAAAGGGTCTTATAACCCTCACCAATTCCCAGAGGCACTGAGGTCAGGCTTCGCTCGTTGCAGTAAACAAAGGTCCGATCACAGCGGCACTCCTCGGGACAGTTGGAGGCCCAGGAGAACTGGAGGTGAAGTCCTAACAGTATAGGTATCCACGGCCTTAAAAAGGAGCCCCAGTCCTTATTCCACAAATGCCACTGTATCTCCATATCATCAGAAAAGAACAGACACAAATCAGAGAAAAACGTTTAAGAAATTACGATTTGGAATATCCAATAGAACAGTCATTTGAATTTTGCTCTTGGCTTACCACCATGTCCAGCCCGATGCTGTGAGTAATCCCATCTTAATTAGTTGTCCTAAACTTCCCAACACAAGAGCGACGCTCTCACTTAGCAATATGATTCCTTCACCAGCCACTGTCCATAATTCAGCTAGGAAACATTAATGAAGTCACATTTTCCCTCTCTTCTCCTTTACCCCGGGAACAGCTCTCTTCATGGCAGTCGATGCTGACACAGCCTGTTCATCCCACCGGAGGATTATCTTCGGGCATCCTCCTCCACGCTTCTGCTTTCACGTCTCACCCGGGTAATTCCACAGCGATAAAGCTTCTCTGTGACTTTGGATCCAGAAACCTGTTGCAAAGAAAATAAGGGATTCAGTTGTGTTTCACCTCAAAATGAATGCAGAGCACTAAAGACCAAAAGGATGTATTGTCGGCATAGTAAGTGAAGCATACTAAAGCGTACAAAATAAGCATAGTAAATAAAGAGAGCGGAGCGTTGTGCATACAAATGACCAGCAGATTCCTCAGACACACAGCTCAAGGAAAAAATGAAAAGTGCAGAGTATAACATGAGCCCTAATCTAAAATGAAAACATACACAGAGCAGCTTCAAACTTTTTTCCCCAGTTGATAACCGGGTACGTGAACAGACTAACAAAAAAATATTTTAAAAACCACCCAATTCACAGGATCAGAACGTGATAGCCATAAGCATAACGTGAGCAATGACATGTGATGTGAGCTATTGATGGAGACGACTGGCTCTGCTGAGCTCCATGAGTCTGTAACCCAGTAAAAGGTACCATAGGAAGACGGGTGAAATATAAAGTGGTTAAAGAGGATGTGGCAGAAACAGAACACTTACAAAGCCATTTATTTGCTCTTAATTATTGTTAAATTAGACTTTGCATTCCTTGGTTAATTAAGTTTAGCTGTTGTAGAACATGATGATGAACGCAGCCTGTCAGCAGAGATAAGATGAGAAACATTTTTTGCACAGCGACAAAACAAAGATCGATGTTGGCCTCTCGAGAAGAAGAATGGTGCTACTGTGCGTACAAGGTCATAAAATATAAATAAAGTGCAGATATTGTTGCAGCATCATTATTAGTTGGAAACAAAAGACTCATTATTTAGGTAAATTGCTGAAGAAATATCAATACACCTCTCTCTCCTGATGCACACCAGTTTACAATCCAATGAATTGATGATAATGTATTATTAGTAGTTGTTAGCTTGGTGGTGGTGATGATGAATAAAACGGCAGCAGGCAGCAGCAGCCAATTGACAGATTGCATTGATTTGTGGCCAAGGCAGTTCAACAGTTTTATAATGTTCCTTGAGGGGGGTGGCAAACAAGGCATCACATTGAGTCCAATTCCGACCTCCCTGCGTTTATTATCGACAGGGTCTTTGGCATTCATAGATGAAAAATAGAAGTTCTTAAAAATGGCCTGTCCCCAGAAAAATTGGAGTGAGGAGTTTAAATGTTTTAATTAGCTGAAAACTTTTATTTTAATTAAAAAAAACGTAATTAATAACACATTTAACTTGTTATCTTTCACCACAGTTCATTAAAAAC